TTTGACTCTTATCACCGTTTGGCATCGCATTTAATGAAAGCCATTTCCTTCGCCGTGTTGCGGTTCGCTCACACACAGCGCACTGTGGTTTAGTTGGCAACGCACAGCGACGGCGACTATTGCACCACTTTTCCCATTATTGAATTATTTTCAAATGAATATTATAATAATCAATTTTCGTTACAAGTATCTGTTTATACTTTAAATGATGTTTTTCTTTGCCTGGGCTTACAAAACCGAAGTAAATTTTCTAATTAAAATAGTGACAAAAGACAAACAATTAACTCATTGATTATTGCGTGGTAGAAACCAGTACCAGAGAAAATCAATTGCTTAAGCTCATGCAAAATGGCAAGAGAAACTCTTGCAAATATTTTCCGCACTTGTATGTGGTAAATAATAATTATGACAATGAAGCGTGATGAAACGATGGCCGCAAATAGCTAATATTTCTTGGGCGGAATTCCTAAGTCATCTCTTTTTCACTTCGTGAAACCGCTTTTGTTTACACCGCAAAAAAAGAAATGTTGCACCGATGCATTGGCTAATCGAACGATGACGTTGGTTTCGATTCGGGTTCATTTGTATAGCATTTCTGCCTCTGTGGCTTTACTTCATTCTTGCTTGTTGGTCGTGCACTTCAATCAAAATTGTTCGTGCGCTTCAAGTTGATGTCATCCATAATTTTAATTGTGACTGATTACATCACATACCCAGTGACCATTTGCTTATATTACGACCGATTCATTTTTTTCGTCTCGTTTTCAAACAGTATCAATAAAACGAAACAAAATGCCGCAACAATTAACAATTGAGAAACAAAGACGTGATCGAAAAAAAAGCAGCGTAATAATTGAAAAAGATGAATTGGTTTTGAATTGACTGTTTGTGGGAATATCATTGAATCAGACCGTGTTCGAAGAGATAGAAGATCATCTTTCAGCTGCTAACAAGAAAAATAAACAGAACAACGTCATATTTTGAGATAAAAACCCAAGAGTTGCGTCTGAATTTTCAACTCAAACTTCAAAAACAAATGCACATTCCTGTACCGGGTTATCGTCGTGTCTATCTTGTCGCACACAAACATTTTGAATGACAAACATTATTCATAATCAATTATCAATTTGGCTGCCGCTGACTGTTTTCGTGCATGTAAGTTAAAAGGAGTTTTTTTGTTGTTGTTGTTATTATTCGATCGGCCGGTCGTTGTTCGTCGAAAAACAAAACGTGTCATCGTCAAATTAAAATCAATTGATTTCGATTATGATGTAAGCACAGTGAATCCGGCAAGTGTGCGTTCTCAACAAATGTCACATCGAATTGTATCATTTTTCGAGAGCGAGAGAAAAGTGCATTTTGCTTCTATTGAATAAAGCGAACAATTAAATGTGTGACTTTGTTTCCATATCTATTTTTGATTGACGTTCATTTATTTGAATTGTTGAAACTGTGGCCCAACGTTCTATTGTGCTCAAATGAGGCGCCCGAGTTGTGTGTAACGAGTTTGTATATGAAAACAATCGATTTTGGAGAATTAGTTTGATGCGTGGAACGCAAGCAGTGATGAATGTAACATAAAACAGAGATATTGTGGATTAGGAAAGTAAAACGTATTTAGCTACCCATCGCTTGAGTGTTTAAAGTTTGTATTTAGCAATAAACACTCCAGGAATTAATTACTTCCTTCATTCGATTGGGTTGCACATGTTTTGTACAGCCAGAACGCAGAGCATGAGAGCGAAGGTGCTTCAACTGAGCAAGCAAGAGAGAGTCAATCGAGCGTTTAATGTGCTACAGACGCGCGAGCTCTTTCCGTTTCGAAACGCAGCATGCTCTGCATTTGCAATTTAATTGTAGCCAGTTCAAAAGTGCAACGAATTGGATGCGGGCCTTTCTTTGGTGAGCATAGCACTTTGAACAAATAAACATTCAGCGAGCAATACAGTGTTTCGAATGGAAAATCTTTGATTTGTTTTGATTTCGGTGCTACTGAGTCTATTTTTGATCGAGAGTGTGAGAGAATAGGCTTCGGTTTTCAGTGTTTAAAATGCTTTTGAGATCGAATACAATTGCTGGTAACAATGGACGTTCCGAAGTCGACAGTTCGATTCGAATGCGGCAAGCGTAACAAGCTCAATTGGACTTATGTAATTGTATTTCGAATAGCAAAACATGAAGCATTCCAATCGATTTTCAGATGAAATGGCTTATGCACCCGTCGTGTGTGTGTTCCATCTATTGGATGGAGCGCGTGTTACACATACACCACAGAACTCATCGAAATCGATTAATTCACAAGCGATTATGTCGTTTAATTGGTTATTTTTAATGGTGCGGAAATGAACGATTACCTTGAATACCAAATACAATTGAACCATGACATTGCTAGAATCAAATATTTAATAGCTTCATTCATTTCTTTTCATTGTGTGGATCGATTCGAAATGATGAAAACCAAATAATTTTTCCATCGAAATTTCATGCAGTGGTCGCATTGTATTCTCAAGTCGATAGAATGCAGTTTGAGTTATGAATGAAACTTCATTTATTTTGAACGAAAAATCGACGACCGAAAATGAAGAATTAAAAAGTGATTAGTGGCTGCAGCTAGTAAAGCGAGAGCAATAATCTCTGAAAATGAAACGTTTCGCAAGGGCATTTTCTACTTATGCTTTTAATTACATGCCACTTAATATGAAAGAGATATTTGTTTGTTTGAGAATAAAACCGAACTTAATATGTCAGCAACAATCGAGCTATTGTTTTTTTTTTTTCATTTCACTTCTTTTATTCAACCGTTAATTGAGTGCATTTTTGTGCGGTGCTCGTTTGCTTGCGTCACATAATTCGCATCATATCGACTGTGAATGTGCAATATGGTGCTCTAGATTATACGGGGGGGGGGCTACAAAACGGAAAGTGCCGCAATTTATTTCTTGCACCGAAAAACCTCACTGCCGCTGTCGCCGTCGCCGTCATCGCTTCATATAACGGAACCGCTCTTCGAAAATTACATGGATTACGAACACAAAATGGAATGTTTGCACATTTATTATGTGGAGCATCGCTGACAGAATGTAAAAAATGTGCAATTTATTATATTGTTAGTGCGATGTAATAGCTACAATTTCACCAAAGACGACGACGACGGAAAATGAGTGTGCGGGAAAATGGTGAATTTTAACGCCATAAGGCAGGTTTCGATTTACCATCAAAATCATTAAATTTTCCACAATTTGAATTGCAAATCTCTCTGCCGCTCGCTCTTAATTCTCTCACACCGTCACAACCGCAACGGGCTTCACGGGATTTGTCCATAGTTAACCGATTCTAATATTTTGGAAAAAAAATATCGTTACATGAGAAACCGTTAAAAAAAGCGCGTTGTTCGCAAACATCGAAAAGCATTTTATGATGTCAAACATGGTACGAAAAAAAAACGAAAGAAGAGAGTTTCCTTGTAGCATATAATGTTAATACGTAGAAGGAATCACACAAACGATCGAGGCAATGATGTTTGCCAGCGAGTAAATGATGAAATTGATAGTTCGTACGCGAGATTTGAAAGGGCTCATCAATAACTGAGAAAATAAAAACAACAACATGCATCATTTCTTTTTTATCGCATTATAAATGGTTGTTCGATGTGGATTCCCATTTCATGCGATCGATTTTATTCCTTTTTCGCTGCTCTCCGTTCATTCTCTCGACAGCTCGACAATCGAGCGACCGTAGCGGTGTTAAACGCAACGGCACACCATATTCAAATCATCTGAAATGGTTCATGACAGAAAAATTACGGTTTTATTTGCATTTCCTATGAAATTGGCTTGGTCTGGTGTGTGTGTGTGTGTGTGTTTTGCGTGTTGTTTTTCACTCGGCGAATGGGAAAATGATGCAAACTTTTCGCCACACACAAACACACGCATCTATGCATCTCGCGCATAAATGCAGTGCAAGCCTGGACAAAACGTCATCAAATGATCGAACCAATGTTTTCGCGATGTAAATTTTTATGGTTTCAGTTAAAATTCGCATGGTACAACACATTGAGTGGTAACGAGAAACCGTCGAACAAACACAAACATCGATTATATATTTGTTTTTGTTTTGCATGCATAATAATAATAATATTGCATTTCCATACGAAAAATTACGTCGAAATTAAGCGGGCAGGCAACGAACAAGAATAACATATCCTAAATGAATATGGGAAAATAAATGCACCAATTTCTAGTGAACCGAGCGAGAAAATGGCAACATCTTGAAACTGGCGCATATTCTATTACACGAGAGAAGACTGAGAAACAAACATGATCTAAACTTTTCAAAAACTAATTCGAACCGTCGTTTGAAGCCCAACTTCACCGTTTAGACACATTTTTAATTTAAATAAATGGTAAAACTTGCAGTATTCACGTGAATCTGGTTTCTGGTGCCTCAGAATGATGATCGCTAACATAAATTTGAGACGATGCACATTTGGCGGTTAGTGGTAATGGGAGATTTGCGTTAGTTTGTATGCTCTCCCCCTCGAATGAATAGCAACCGTAATGTTTTCACCGAATGTTCAAATTTTCTTTTTCGAGTAAATGAGAAGAGAGAAGTCCATCTCCAGCGGTGATTTTGAATACATGTAATGTTTAGATTGCGTTTGTTGTGAATGCCGTAATTGAGACCGAGAAAATATTCTATTTTCATTTTCTCGTTAACGGAATTTCGGGGCAAACTAAACTTTTGTTGTTGATCATGCCCGAAACGCGTACAAAAATAACACAAATGTTGATTCTATGTGTGCGCATCAGACGAATAGATCACCACAGAACTAAGCATATCGACAAGTGCAACTCAAAATCTGTCGACACAATGAAAAATGTGCACGATTTTAAAATGCCCGAGCTTATTTTCTATTCTGTTTGGATTCTTTTTTCTCTCGCTCTCTCTCTCTCATTCGACTGGCTTCAGCCAATTGGCGTCTGCGTGTGTTCTTCTTGTTATTTTGATATTGGATTTTGTTTATAAATTACGGTTAATTTATGCAGTTTAAAACATCGGTTCTTCAACTGCGCGCTCGCTGTCTGACCAAAAGCAAAAGGCGAAGACAAACACACATACATGGGCACAGACACACAACGGGCATCAGAAATATCGATTTTAAGCATATCGGAGCGTTTAACTTGGATGCGTTTAAACATCGTAACCATTATTAGCATGATTTTTATTTAATGCGATGTTTCTGGTTTGTTGTTCCCTTCAGCATTCGACATGTCCACTTCGAAGACAACATAATTCATGTGGTGTGTGTGTGTGTGTGTGTGTATGTGTGTTGGTTATGCCACGCCGAACAATTTTATTTAATCGTTCGACAGATTCCCAATTCGAGAACGGGAAAAACGCAAACAATCAATATCGAACCATAATTTCATTATTATGCGATTAAAGCATTCACAAATGTATTTGTCCATCTCTTTCAAGCGAGATGCATCGCGAGTCATGTGATCATAAATATGCTATCTCATGTGGCTCTCTCTGTATATATTGCTGTCGATTGAATGAAAAAGGAATAAACAAAATAACAGTCCGAACCGAGGAGCGGTTCAAGATGGACATTCCTCGTTTCCAAAAGAAGAACGAAGAATGGTTTGACATGTAAATTGGTAATCACACAACTCACAGCCACTCGCTCGGTTATCATTAAGACATTGCATGCAAATGACTTTATAAAAATATTTATTACATATTTTAATAAGTGACCATTGGCCAATTATGTATAATAAATGTCAGCCGAAAGACTCAACCGCGAATGATGACCAATGAATACGACTCGAATAATTGCAATTGCTGTCTGTCCTCTTTTCTTTTCATAATATCTCAATGCATGAAATCATCGCTGTACGAATGGTCGCAGTTTTATGTCGACAAATGACCAGCATTCAGACGATATAAGAGGAGCTCGGAAATCGCTAATGGGGAAATGATAATTGAATACTTGAATTTTTATTTGCCAATTTAATTTCCTTATTAGAAGACCTTGGCTTTCGATAACATTTCTCCAATGATTTTATGTTCGCCCGCTCATTATTATCTTTCTTGGAAAGCCTTCTTTTATTGCAGGCAGCGCGAATTTGTGCTATCGCATATTTTAGCATGGAAATATCGTTTTGCACCTTTGGCATATATTCAATTTTCGACGAAAAACCATGGAAAGTAGGTAGAAAACGATTGTTATCGTTTTATTGCCAAAATTGAAAACAAAGGTGCAGCGTCAATGTGGAGGAGTGCACGTCATCATTTTACCGATCATTTGTTCTGAACGATGAAAAATGGTGCCAATGGAGTGCGTGCGAAGGAAATATTTCTTTTCTTTACTTGTTCATTTTCTACTAGCTTTCGTGCTTTCATATCACATATGTGCTCCAATGACACTGATCCCATCTAACTAAGCCGTAGGCGTTGTTTGTCATCTAAACCTTTCGAAATCATTTAAAACACCTTTTTCTTTTTTTTTTACACCATTTACAGTATTTGTTGTGAAAATTCAAAACAAACACTTCTCCAAATAGATTGATAGAGAGGCCTTCTTTTGATGGAAATCTCACCAAATATTGAAGTTTGTCATTATCATTGATGATGTATAAATCAAAATTGAAGTCACTATCAACGCCAATGGCGTTAATGATATAGTAAATGTGGCGTCAGCCGGTTTTGATTACGAAATCCGGGTATAATTAGTTTGATGACGAAGCCGCCCGATCGGAATTCAAATACAAAATATCGCGAGCAAACACATAAAATGCCTATAATAACTTGATAAATTCGCACTGTTGTCGAGTCGAGCATTTTTCGTCTTTTCCATTTGTTTCTGAATGAAATAGCGAATATTCATTTTGCAAATGTAGGCACATTTCATCAGAATATGGACGAACAATTGAGTGCAAGACGGAAATGTTTAGAAGTAGTGATTCAACAATTCTTGTTTCCAAGTGAAAAATACTCTGACCTTGTCCGATCATTTAATATGTTTTAGCATACTTACTCCATTTTCGGCTTTCCAAAATGCCATTATTCTTTTGATTTCGCTAATTAATTCTGGTTTCGTTTGAAGTAAACTCAAATTTACACCGATTTACTATACAATTCGCTCATTTTTGCAATTGTTTTTCGTATATGTGGTTTTTAATACTCAGATTGTGACTATTGTTAAAAAGTACTTAAAATTAATTGTGCAGATTGCCTTTTTGCCAAACGAATAAGTTATGGTCGATTTGGAATTCTTAAATTGCGAGCAAAACATAATAACCTTTATTATAATGTGTAAAATAGTAATCAAGTCAATCCATCCGATTTTTCATGCTTTGAATTGGCTGAACCGAACTCGAAAAAAAATCGGCAAGTAAAAATGTACACTACAAAATATCATGTGCCCATCGCGCGAGATGTACGCGATCGCATTGTATTTTAGATCAAATGTGATGTGTTCTATAATGTATTCAGGTAGCAAATGAAAACGCGTAATAATTCACACACATGCGAGATCAATAGTGCTAATTAGTATGATAGCATTGACTGAGAGCCGAGAAACGTCGGTCTCGCTTGAAAATGGTGCATATCGAATTCTTCAAAAAAAAAAATAATATCGGTTTGAGTGACGGGTTAAACATCAATGCATATTCTGTATTAATTCCGTTCAGTGTGTTCTCCATTCGAATTCAACTGCCTTCATTCCCTTTTCATCGGATCATAATAATTCAGTCATGAACTGCGCTCGGTTCGTGTGCCACATGCGTATTGTTCATTCTTACAGCATGTTCGTGTGAATTTATGTGTGAAAAATGTTTATACTGCACCGCACGCGGTTGATTACTAAAAACGTTCAACATTTTTCTTGAGTAAATGGAGTTTATTGTAAATGTTTTTTCGTTTCAACAAAAATGTCGATCAAAATGTACGACCATTTGATGGGCATAAAATAACCAGAAGAAAACGGCTTTCAGTCCATTATGTTATGGCGGCATAAACAGCAGTCGACAAATGAATTCGATGGTTAGCACTTGCTTGCACAACTCTCGATTTGGGTAGCCACATGCGATTTTTTTTGACATGGAGTAGGCGATGCTTGATGAAAAGGTATTTGAATTTATAACACCATGATGCATGCGGTCACTCGTTCACAATGTGAAGCATGGGCACTGCGCATTTGAAAACCGGCAGTGCGATCAGGTCTTGAATAGCTTTGAATTCGATTTTATTAGCTAACATTCTGGTTAAACAGCCATCTGAACTCGGACGATTGTGTATTCAGTGAACGAGCAGTGTTCACCTTTTCCTCGCGCATTTCAATCCAAACAAGAGATAGAGAGACTAGGTGAGTTTTGTGATAGCGCGTGGGCCCGTGTAATTATTATTGCTCAAGAAAATCTAACACAAATTTTGTGTGCACTGCATTTTATGCGGAACATTCGAACGATGTCTCAGAAGAATGAACCAAAAGGTGCGGCCACGATTCGAAAATAATGCCTAATTCCGTCATTTTCAACGTTTGTTTTTGTTCCCGTGGCTTTTTTTTTTATCAACGTGTCTCACTTTTGTGAGTATGTGTTTGTGTGTGATTTCGATTGAATCAAAACGATAAGCTGGAGAGTACATGCCTTTCAATGTGTATCAACAATCTGAATAATGTATGCCGACGAAGTGCAGCGGCTCATCGTTTCAGTGTGATGCATCTATCCAATAAATTCTGTAACATAATTCATTCATTGAATAATTTAATAAGCATGTATCGTATATTATTCTTTCATTTTTGTACAACGAGCGAGCGAGCGAGAATGAGAGAGTTGCAATGAATTATCATCGTTGTTACACATGTGGCCCGTGTGTACTGTACGGTGTATACGTTGCACAACTCAAAAGCGACAATGTACTTCATAATTCAAACATATGCGGTAAAGTGTTTCGCAGCGATTTTAATGTATGAATTTATGAAATCATGATGATGGGCGTATAATCACCTCCTCTCCTCTTTCCGAGATAAAAAAAGTAGAAAAACAACACAATCTGTATAAGTAAATCCGCTCGGCTTTAACAAAAAAAAAAAGCCACACTGCAAAGGAATGCCGAGGATCGAACCACAATGAAATTCGTACACATGCCAGACACAAATGCTACAGAAGATGAAAGATGAAGCAACAGCTTCATTCGGATTGAGAGTCAACGATACACTCTGTTCCTCTGTTCAACCGATAACAGATCTAGTTTCCCTCAAAATCGTATTTTATGACCATGGAGAAGTGGTGTTTTCATGTGTTAATTTTTATCAACCGAAGCCATTAAATGCACATTCGAAATTTCACTCTTTTCAACGTAAGTGAAAGGAAACTGCGGTCTTTGGGCATTTGCAAATGAGTCACCACAGATAACTTCTTCGCATTTTTCGCCATCACGTAAATAACCATCTTCGTAAACAAACGCTACTTCCATTCGATTTGCTACAGTACTCACCATAAACAATAATCACAAGCGCAGTAAGAAGAAAAAAAGTGCTAAAATCGCAATCTTAAACCAAACACGAAATAAGAATCAGAAAAACAGCGTTCTTATCAGCAGCCCGGCATTTTCAAATCAATTGCAAATATTTATTTAAATTTATTTCGGTCGGTTGAGGTATTCATGCTGTTGTTTTTTCGCCGTTTCATCTCAATAAAAAACACACACAAAACCGAAAACACTTGTGTGAGTCGATTTGTTGCGGCCGATTTATGTTGTTGTTAAATTCGCGCGCGCGCAATACACAATTGAGTACACGACAAACCGTTAAAACCCAATCGCAAGCGTTGCAAATTTTCTATAAATAATTTTTTTTTTTTAGAAAAACGCTCACTCGGAGACTAAAAAAGCGACCATGTTGACAAAATTGAGAGCACATTAAACACCCAGATTAGTCGCCGTTCAAATATTTAACGAATTTTTTTAATTTCGCTGTCGTTTCATGTTTTTTTTTCCTGTTCGTTCATTCGTTCTTTCGTCTCACTGATTTCGATTTCGTTTTTGGGTCGAAATGCGATAGTGTTAACCATTCAATTAGATTTCCTAATCAAATATTTTTGAGTCCGCTCACGTACGGTGGCGGCTTAAGTAGAAGGCAATGACGAGAAAAAAAAAATCAAAACCGCATTTTTAACAAAACTCTTGATTGATTGATTTTTAACTAATCACTTGCGATAGGTTAGACGAAACAACACACTGCATTTCATACCAAAATTTATAAATACAATCACCGGAATGAGAAAAAAAAACTAATAAATTTATCACTTCGATACAATTATTATACGGTGTGCGAGGCTTTAGTCACGAGTGTTGCATAATTTTTCGACGATAAACGACGTCTTTCAATCGAACGACCTTATTATTAGTTTCATTTCAAGATCAACACAATGGAAATATACGTCGAAACTAATTGTTTTCGAATCGTTCACACAATGGTTATTCATGTGAGAGAGAGAAGAAAAAAAACCGAATTCTTCGTACTGAATTGATAGAGTATTTACTGATTCTGGACAGAGTGAAAAACTTGACTGTTCTATCTAGCTGTTTTTCAGTATTTTTCAACTGAATTGTCAAAAAAAAACGCAAAAAACAGTACAGTATTCAGGTCTTCACGCTGATAACAAATAACGTAAACTAAAGTAAACAAGTATCTAAAGCCGTGTCACATACATCGGTACTCGACCGATGATGTATTGTATTCGCACGGCTTATCACAAAACATGTAAACGGCCACATACAAAAATAAAAACGTAAAAATGGGTGCGCACCCGCAAACATCACACTGACAAACGGAAAAAATATCACTTCGGTGTAGAAGAGACAGAGAGAATATACGAAAAGAAGAAAAAAAAACAAATCGGCACACACGGCGCGAAATGCGCGTTAAATAATTCTCTAATAAAAGTAACCACAACGTTCGACTTCGATGTCAGCCATCGACTGAATACGAATTTAGCGGCGGCTGCTGCGCAAACAAGCAGTAAACAACAAAACACAGGCCGCACAACAACGCTGTAAACGCCAAGCACACACACACGACAAAAGCGAAAAAAAATGTAAACAAAAGCAACTCCAAAACTGGAATGGAAGTTGCCGAGTGAATGTGATGGTATGAGTAAGCGCGTAGTAAACTGATCATTCAAGCGAATTAAATTCCACAATGAAAACCAATTCAATGCTCGTCTTTATCGATGGATGTATGTGTGACACATTGTGTGTGTGTGTGTGAGCCACAGAGCACGTTTCTACAATAACGACCAAGTTCTGTGTTAGATAGAGTCGTTTGAATGACATCGGTACGCGTTCGTATAGAGCGAAGCAGTAACAGCAAGATCATCATACATACTGTAAGCCATTCATTTCGTTTTACCTTCAAAGCCATGCAGTGGTTGTGCGAATAAAGTGCCGTGTGTATATGTATGTGACAACATGACTTCGATTCTATTTTTCATTACTAAATGAACAATAACGAGCGCAAGCCAACGACGCTCGCGTCTACTTACGTGTTTTTTTTAATATGCAGGCACATGTGACTTTCGTGCTGATAATGTGTTCAAGTCTCTTTGCTGAAAATTTGAATCGAAACATATGAAAGCAACGAATTATTCGCTATACGCGTCCCAAAGGGCGCCGAATATCAACTAAAAACTGTTTACCCAATAGACATCGCCATTGAACTGAATAGACGAAAAATTTTTAGTGACTTGTAACTTGCCATACGCGGCACATACACACGCTAAATATATCGCTCTCTCTCTCTCTGGTGCCCTATTCAATTTTGCAAAACTACAACCGACTTTTCCTGTGCTTGATGCTTTTTACATATTTGATGAGTTTTTGTATTGCACATAATACGCTGTGTTTTGTTTGCTAACGATACGATAGTAACAAAAGAGCGCGCGCGAGAGCGAGCAATCAAGCGAGCGAGTGAACGAGCTCTTTGAATGTTGGTTTTCGTGGCATTTATGCCATATTCATATTTACCGTTATCGTGGCTGCATTTCAAAATTTCAGAACAACTCGTAATCTTTTGTTATCAATATTTACTACCTCTCCGACATGATATGGTTTGTCTCATTTTTTTCCGAAACACAAACACGCAATTGATGCCAGATTTTTCATCATTCATTTTTTGGCATATTGATTTAAGTGTAATTTTTAAACAATTATTTGAATTATTACCTACCACTATAATTCAGTTTTATCTTTCGATTCGTTTGTTTCGGGATTCAATTCACCACAGCACCTCATTTGAGGTAATCAAGCAGAAGCCTTCGCTTTTTATGGTTTTAATTTTTCTTACCTAAAAAGAGTGAATGAAACAAAATCGGTCTTTAGTTTTATTGAATGGGTATAAAAATTGGCGCTTAAGTTTTATCTGAATGGAAAAAGTGGGTTGCCATAAAATCAAAAGAAGAATAAAACGATACAAAACGTCAATAAAGTATTCTTTTCTTTCGGCATTGGTCGGAATTGGAATTGGGGCAGAGGATAAGGCGCAGCCATCATCAATAAATGCCCGATATCATCGAGTGCCACGGCAGTAGCAGCAACGGCAGCTGCAAGACATGGAATCGCTTTTAGAACCATAAAAATTAACTAGCAAATGGCGCACCGAATTTTTTTTTCATTCTGTTCATCCTTTACGCTCAATCCTCGAATTAATTGATAAGGATTCGTGACTATTTAATTTCACTCCATTTGAGCAGATAATCTGTCGTTGGTTTTAATTGATTTTTGGAATGTGCTTGGATTTACTCGAATCGGGAATATGCCTCACTCGAAATAGCAATTTCTATCTATTTCGATTAGTTTTCTGCACTCGAAGTAGAAAAGCGCTAAAAGCTAAACGGTGACGATAAATAAATAACCCGATTCCCCTATGCGATGCGACGTATTCATTTTAGATTCGAACGTACGATAAAGTCAATATTTCCGTGCATTAATTCCTGTAGCCGCAGAGGCAGCGAAAGAGAATGCGGTGGCGGTGGTGGCGATGACGGCAGTGGTTTTGGTGGCGGTGGAGGAGAAGAGGAAAGAAAAAAGCCAAAATGGAAATGAATCGAGCTACAAAGGCAAGCTTTTGATAGGCGAGCATAATGATTTGCACGATTGGCTCACATTTATCAAAACGAGATATATACATAATGAGGCCACGCAATTTCAGCAGTAAAAATAAACCATTGAAAATGTCATGGAGCATAGCAAATGAAACTTGTGCTCGCACACAGCATACACATACACACCGACAATAGACATTAGTCTAAACAGCAAGAAGCGTTACACTTCGTCATATGCATTCTTCGCCTACTCGCTCTCGGCCCCGGCTAAGATTAACAACTTCAACTTTAGCTGTAAATTTTGAAACAGCATCCAAAAAACACACCGAGTCTGCGTTTTCTATTTAAATCAAATCGGCAAGAAGAAAAAGTGAAATGCATTGACAGAGAGTGAGCAAAACCAGCAAACCAGCTGTAATTTCCATCGCTGATTAAGTCTGAAGACTTCAACATGCCTCAATCGATTCGAATGTTCCGGAAACACGTACCAAAAAAATAAATCGTTTGCATTCAACGCTCGTACGAGTTCGTTTCGCTCCTTCTATCACTCGTTTGCCGAGACAAATGATAATCAAATACACACACACACATGCACAGCCAAACAGCCACTTAAAATGACGATGCGATATGGGTGCGCGATTGAATGTCTAATTTATGAGAGTGCAATATTGTTTGAGCAATTTGCAAAATGCGCTGACGATTCATTCTCCGATCACATCACTGCGAGTCGTGAGCGCAAAGGAACGAACGAATGCGCTTGCTATGCATTTCCACCTACTTCGATTCCCATCTCGAGAGAGATAATTTTCGTTGTTATTTATCTCTTTCACACTTAACATTTATTGAGAAAATTTGCTAGCTGTTAGTGGTGTTCGTTAGGCGAACAAAAATCGTCTATCTATTCTAATAAAGCACTATGGATTTGAAATTGAAACATTTCGGCAAGCGAGAGAAAGAGACATTGATATGATTCGTAGTGCGAAAGCGTGTCAACAAAGCGATTTTAATCGCGCATGCATATGGAGTAATTTGTTTATACGCTGCATTCGAATGATTTATATTTCTATTAAAATGTAAATCGTTTGTTTGGCCATTTACTTGTCGACTCGCACGACTATTCCCCTCTGGCTTTTGACGATGTTAAAATATTCGAACTTCGTTGGTTCGCGCGCAAAAATATTCTAATGCATTTATTTTTTTTTTTCGCTCGTTCCGTTCGTTTTCATTTCCCATTGTAGCACGTTGCCGATCTGTTTGCAAATGAAGCAATTTCACCCGGTGAATTGTTTGTGCGCCGTCTTCGTCGTCGTCATCGTTGTCGCCGCGCATTCCAAGTGCAGCAATACACCGTTCGAGGATATTTATGGGTTTTTCTTCTATGCTCAAGACGCAGTCGGTTTTTATATGCATAATTGATGCTTGTTTGTCCAAACGGATTGAGAACATTTATCTTTTTACATGCAAGTGTGAAACTGTGAATATCGGTTCTTGTCTCGCAACAAACGGATTTTCTCTCTTTATCCGCATTTCTTTTTTTGCAACATTTCTCGGCTGCTTGTTGTCATTGCATTTGGTATTTTTTCATCTCTATCTCCATGTGTGTGTGTGTGTGTCGAGCGCATACTCTCCTCCGAGACGCACTTCAGGCATCAAATACATTCGCACATTTGTGCTCCAAGTCAATTTTTCATACGATTTGCTTTTAATCGCATTGAGATTAGATTTTCACAAAGATGAAGTATCAAGTGCTTTGTGCATGGAACCGGGAAAATCATATGCACAACTTATTTTCTCATGCACATAATACAAGATTTCTTGATGATAACGTATATATCAAGTTTATGCCTTGCGGATCCGATGTGATTATTCAAAGTGTTAATCATAATTTTGTTTCCAATACATACTGTCTAATGAAGAATGGAATTAATCACTCGACCGAGACACCCAGGCTTATATTACACTCGCTCTATCTCTTGCTTGCATACTCAATCTTGCGATAGTATAAGTCGGTGCGAAAACTGAAGCAATTAAAATGTGATTTTCAAATGACAACAATTATTTTCTCGTGTGCAGCTTGTATTTTTCTTTCTGTTATTATTAATTTATGTGGTGTGCGTGTGCATGTGTTAACATAAACAATGTCTCGGCTGAAATAATTTTGATTGATTTGCGAGAGAAATGCAAATCAAGCAACAACAAACAAACGATGAAAAGAAAAACAATGTACTTAATGATGGCAATGTTTTGCATATCATTCGCATTTGCATGAATAATGATCGATCATCGGAAATGAGATGTGTGTGTGTGATGGCAATGATTTGCGACAGGAAAAATGAATATAAAAATGTTTTCCTTTCCACCAATTGACTCTATCATTATCGAATTAAGAGGAATTATAATCGTATAGAAAAACACCGTTGTGGATAAGTCTACTCAATTGAATCCATTCACAACAGCGCCATCTGTTGAATGAGCCAAAGCTTAAAGCGTTGAGTCTAAGTAGCAAAGACACAACTCTCGACGGAAAATTGAGTTAAATTCTTGAGTGAAACTATTTGTGCATTGGAAAATGTAAACAAAGAAGTCTGAAAAAAAATAGTTTTCCAAATGGTTCAGACGAGAAAATCAATATTACCTGCGGCAATGTGCAGCTTTGATGACAAACCAGTCCACAAGTGAGGCACTAAAAATAAATAAATATTTTTATTAATCAGTACATGAATGCTAAGTATTTACTTTAATCGTTATTAGGCTTTAACAAAAGGATTAATAAAATGAACAAAAATCTATCTGAAATTGATGTGTTTTTCATTTTTGATACCAACCTTAACAGCATCCGGAACGAGTAAAAATTCATGGCAAACTTGACATAGCTTATTGTGTACGTGTGCTACTCGATCGAAGTGATGGTCGATGGATTCCTTGAGCGATTGATACAGAATTTGTGCGGATTTATCGAATTGGTCCCGTTTCGTTGGGATTTTAAAGGCAATGGGCAGTGGTTTTTCAAGTTTTCGTGCATAAATCATACTTTGTGCACCGATATTGCGCGGCTGCAACGTTATGAAGCGGCTGTCATGCAGATTTCGGTGCGGTTCAATGGGAATCGAAGCGGCACGCCGTGGATTTGGACTATCGTCAATAAATGGAATACTGTCGGATGAGCTACACGATATGGGTAATGGTGCATTATTCACAACAACCACATTACCATTGCCATCAATTTTCTCGTAACGCGTTTCGACAGCAAAATCACTGTCCACATCGGCTGATTTCTCGACCTTAATCAATGGCAATGAATCGTATTCGCCAATGGATTTACTGTCATTGCCACCATCGTCGATGTATTGCTGGTCGTGGGTGATATCCTTGTGCGAATGATGTAGCACAATGGTTGTTCGATTGTGGTTATTAGCATCGCTACCATTTTCAATTGTATCGAACGCAAATGTTACGTTCACGGGTGATTTCGATTTGGCCCGAGGCACTGTTGGCTCTGGAAATGATTGCGAACGATTCTTCAAATTCGATTGAAGCGTTTCGTTCGGTTTGTTGTTGTTGTTGCTGCTGCTGCTGCTGCCGTTGTTCGTCTTCTGCTCATCTTTTATTTTGTTATTATTTTTCTCCTTCTTTGCTTCTTTCTTGTTGAGTTTTTTCAGTTGTTTTTGTTGTTGTTTCAATCGTTTTTTCTCGAGTCGTTTGGTTCGTTTGATGTCCTTTTTCATCGATTTACTGGTTATGGCGGACGCCAATTTGCCAGTTGCTATCGTCGTTGCCGCCTCTGTCGTCGTTGTTGTAACCAGCGGTTTGTTATCGTCCACGGAATCCAATTGGGCTCTCGCTAAATCGATTGCTGATTGAGCGCTTTGCAGCGGCTTTTCGACATTGTGATTGTCGTCGTCATCATCGTCATCAATGTTCGCGGATGATACATTTTCAATGCCGATATTGTTGTGCAACGCTTGTGATACACCCACCGCATCATTTTCTGGTTGTATGAGCTTTTCATGCAAATTTTTTGAAGTTATGAGTGGCTTTTGCAACGGAATCAACTGTAGTTTTTGAATGTCCTCAGTCTAAAATGAGATAAAAGAAAAACAAATTGATACGGTTAAAACGAATGTCCATAAATATGTTCCATGCTATCTTATTCATATCCTAAACAATCTTCTATAAACTTCATTCCATTTTGTCATTGGATGCTGTTTTTGTCGCCGTACATTCATATCATTTTTTTTTGCGGGAATTTTTCATTTCATAAATGGGGATTCATACGCAAATTACACGGGAGAAACGCAATCGCAATTTGTGAATGCTCAACATACACACAGAGCTCACGATGAAAAGAAATCCATTGCGAAGATTTTCCACGCTTCTTCAAGACGCTTGTGAATGCATGGCACTTTTTTTATTCTGATTTTCCAGGCATTAGCCAAAGACTCGACGAACAAACAAAGCAGCGACGACAACGACGGTGTCATCTCACTGACGGCGAAAAATATGGAAAAAATTTCATTCACAATGAAAGCCAACGATGGAAAAGAAAAATGCCATTACAACTTTTTTTCTGCATAACATCGTGTTTGAGACGGGCGCCTTTTTTCTCAGCTATTCTCGTCAACAATACTGATTTTACAATTGAACCGTGTGAATCAACAGAAAAATGTTGACGCTTTCATTGACTTGATGTGGTGCGGTATGGTGTGTGTGTGTGTGTGTGTGTGTGTGTGGTGGTCGGTAAATTTGCATTTCTTTTCGTGGCGATGAAAATGTCACGTTCTTCAATGAATTATTTTTGCCACGGGATTTTTTCACAAGTACGCATAGCAGACAAGTGTTTTTCCGACTTCATGTACCGCAATTGTTTTGCCGGAGTACACACACATACACACCATGCAGGTATTGTTTGAAGTGAGCGCACGAGCGAAAAACTTTTTTCATCATAAATGCGACTAAGTTGTTCCATTCGTGCACAGCTAAGTTGTTTATCTTCAATGCAGTTCAACCTTGTAATGTGTGCGACAGCAAATGTGGCGGAATGGGCGCCGTGCAAAGAGTGCGTTCCATACGCATTTTCATCAAATTAATCAAACACAAGCATCATGCTGTGTATGCACGTATATGTGTATTCTTTTCTGCGCTTGTTTGACTGAGCCACTTGAAACGACAGACTCCACATTTCTCGATTAATGGGTAAAATTAGGGCATACGAAGCACAATTGTTTTTATTGCACAAACTTGCAAACACACAAATTCAGATGCGGACAGAGCAATGCTTTTAACTTAAGAAAACTGATATGAGCAGTGTAATGCAAATGAGTGATAAGGATAATTAAAAATTAACTAATGTTTGGATCTAGCTGTAACTAGAATCGTCTTCATGGTTCAGTTTCAGGATCATCATTTCAACGTGGCTATACAATGTGTTAGGCTGTACGATTCATCTTTTTAATTTGCATTTCTAATTTTGTTTCCGTGTTCTTATTCACCGGACACAGTGGGTCATCATCAGCATAAACTTGTGATTTCTTTTAAACCGAATGAAATGTAAAAGTTCGGTGCTGTGCACACCAACGAATTTATGGTTCGTGCGATGTCTTTAGTTGACAATGTTTTTGTGATGGTTTTTCTTTATCGTTTTCTTCCTCTTCCAATTTTTCTCGCTCTCGGTCTTGATTCGACGTTTTTTTTGGGTTTGAGTAGAGAATTGTGTTAGCTCTACATAATAATGAAAATGAAATAAATTATACATTTGGGGATTGGTAGACAGATAATTTATGGCATTTTTTTCTAGCCACAATCTTCAAACCAAAGTCTTTGCAGCCATGTTCTTTGTGGCCATACATCTCAAGCCATTCTCGGTACGAAGGCAATCACAAAGGGACCGTATCGGAATTGTGTGTTTCTTTATTCGTTCGAACCAGTTAAAAACCAGTTGAAGAAATTAATTTTGTTGATAATAATTTGCTGCTAGTAAAACAGCATCATTATTGACAATATCGACGACGATGACGGCTAGAATGGTGATTGGAAAATGATAGTGGCCGCAATTATGTGTGTGTTTACTTGGATCGGCGATAGTAATTTATTTTTGATATACTACCACTTCAATTTATCGATGGCCTGATGAAGGGCATTAATTTCGTACAGTTTTTTCGTACGCTCTTCTGTATCCATCACCATTGCTTCTATACATTGTATCTTTTTTTTTATTAAGTTGTTGCTCTCAGTATGATCTATCGCGAAAAATAATTGTGTTAAAGCAACGTCATTTCTAGTGGAAATAATCAAAGATGTAGTAAAGAGCATTGTGAATGCGAACCACATAGAGACAAGAGCGCTGCTGGATTTCCAACGAAAGAGAAAAAGAAAGAGTTGTCGGCAGTATACGAAATGCAAGAATGTTTCATACAATCTTTTTTCTGCTTTTCTCTTTGTACTCGTTCGCCTGTTTGGTTAGTCGACTGTAGAAAAATATCCCATTAAAATAGTTGGAGAGCACATAAATTATGTAATTTAGGCGCAAAAACTCGTTCCATACCACTACTCTACACACAGAAGAGATATATGAAAAATAGTCGGAGGGGAAACAGAGAATTCATACACGATAAAAAATTACAACGCCGACAACGAGGACGGTGATGAAGTTCGATTTTAATTTGTATGTGCGTCAGTATTGCACATCACGAACCACTTTATTTATTATCAACAACAATGTGTTCTTTTATCTGGTGACTGCTTTTCAGTATACACAGTCGAGTGCATTACATCAAACGCCGCATTCCGATCTCCATGGAGAGTGAGTGCTGGCGCAAAAAAGAGCATCTTTTCAAACAGAAATACCGAGAGAGATGGAAGAGTGAAAGATTCTTACGAAAGAATAGGCGCGTGCATAGACATTCCATTTGTGGTTGTGTGCGCCACTCACTCACTCACCAACTCACTCACGCGGTAAAGACACATATAACATTTTTCTGTGCAAGATTTTCTATTTCTGTCAACCAGAAAAAGGATGTGAAGCCAAAAGTGCATCCAAACACCTGCTCCAAACCACACATAGCACAGCGCATTGTCTTTGAAGTTGACTCTTTTTCCATCTCTTTCTCTCCACCAGTTCACCGGTTTTGTTCATCTCTTTTTTTTGCATTTTTTTATGCCTTATTCGAATTTCAAAACCAAAACCGTGGTGCATTTGGAAGTAAAAGTTTTTTCTGCATTGATATTCGATTGTTCAATCTTCGTCGCGCCATAGAAAATTTTTGGCCCGAAAAAAACCGTTTTTTTATTCTTGCCTTTTCAACCTCAACGGGAATATTTCTTCATAGAGAAAGACAAACAGTCTACAAATACATTATAAATGCTGTATGCTTAAAACAAACGCATTTTCGAAATTTGGCTTATTTCAGCATTAATCCCAACATAATTGCCAGTGACTGTAAAAGTCAGCAATCTGATAAATACCGTAAAACGAATCTTTTTTCTACTTCGTGAATTGTTTATCGTCCGGAATTCAATGCTCAATTTCTCTTTCTCGCTCTGCCTCCTTCTGTCTCTCTCAAGTCTCTATAAATGCGAATGGTTCACGTCACACGGAAGGTTTGAGTGGTAATTCGAGTATTTTTCGATTGTTTATTGGTGTTGAGTCAACATGTTTCCATCGTTTGCATGCGTTCGCTAGTGGAATATCCTAGTGGTAGTAGCATTTGAAGTATGTGTTTGTGTCCGATGATTAAATGAATAAACCTATCTGCTTGTTTAAGAATGTATATGTAAATATGCTCCAAACTGGGCATGAACAAATTTTGAATTCTTGGTCAATGCTCAAATACATACGAAATACCGTTGAAAATATTTGCATTAACTCATACCAACGCAAATCGTTCATTCCAACAGTCTTGTTTAGCTTGTTCTTGAATGCATGGTGAAAACTGTCAAAACCAACAATGTTTCGATGCCCAAGACAACTCCACTTTTTGAACGCAGTGAAATTATGAAAAATTGTCAGTGGTTGCAGTTCGTGTTCGTTCTATTTTGCTAACATTTAGTTTTAGTTTTGACAGATATTTACTGTGTTCGGACTGAATTTCAATGCATCTGACTGTGTGTGTGCTGTTGACGGAGTTTGGAATATGATTTTATTCACGTCGCACAAACAAATGTAACACAAGATAAAAGTTACTATCGGAAATTTATCATATGGTGCTGATGGTGATGGCATCGGTTTCAAGCGACACTTCGTTGTGAAATATGGTTTGATGTGAGACAACCAATCATTTGTACACGGGCATTTAAATAGCAGACACCAGATTGGAAGCAGCAAAATAGCAGTGAACTCAAAGAGAATAAAGATGCGGATCGAAAAGGTAACAAAAATGGTGGAAAACATTAAATCAACTCTAATTTAATTAAAACCGAGATAAATTTATTCGAACTCGAAAGTATCCACTACAAAAGTGACTTCTGTTGCAGGTGCTCATTGTTGATAGCAAAAAGGATAATGAAAACTTTGTGCTGGGGCCAATTGATGGCGTTAAAAGTGCTATTCTAATTGGAGATACTTCGAAAAGTGCATGGTTGAAAGGTAAAAACTTTTTCCGCATTTTTTTCACAATTCCATTGTATTCAACTTTTGAACATTTCTTTTTGGATTTTCATAAGTTTGTTTCAAAGTAGAGTATCCACAAATGTTAATAAAAATGTACACAATTTCTCTTTTCTTCTTTGCTTTTTCCAGCCATAACATTTGCGTTAGGATACTCAAACGAACTGAATAGTCTTCCTCGTGAATTTCGCAATTTCAATGGCTCCGTCGAATTGACACTAAACTTTGAAAATTCAGTTCAAAATGACACCACCAAAGCATTTTTCAAGAGTCTCGGCAATATTCAAACTGGCAACAAGATTTTACTTCGTCGTTCAATTCAATCGCAACAAATCGAATATTTTCTCAACAATGGTTTGGTCGAACGTTTGGATGTGAAAAATTTTCTGCAAACTTTCAATTTTTCGCCATCGTATCCATTCCAGTATTCCGTGCACAGCGACGACATTGCTCTGGTGGAACTGAGCGATGACGCAGATCGATTGCAGTTCTTAAAAAATTGTTGTGGCGTCGATGAGTTTTGTGTAAAACGAGATAAATCAATACGCATTCTGAAAGAGACCGAAGAGCAAATTCGGAAAATTGATGTGTCGCTGATGAAAATCAATTTACAGCTTGAAATATTTGCGTCGAATGAAAAACAGCAAATTTATCAAGATTGGGTAAAGCGCGAAAAGGAGCTGGGCCACTTCAAACGATTGTATCGCATAAAAAAGATGCAAGCTGAGCTTCAACAGCGGAAAGCGGATATCGATAAGCAGACGAACGCCATTGCAGTGAATAAAAATGCCATAATTCAAAATGCGGAGAACAGCAAAGAGGTGCGACGCCAAATTAAATTGATTTCGGATAGCCTGAATGCGTTGAGAATGGATGAGCGGCAGCTGGTATCAGAAATTGAGCAAAGTGAACATGCAAAACATTCGCTGGAAGCCACAATTGTCGATCTTCAAGGATTTGTCCAGCAGGGTTCATTGAACGAAGAATTTTCCATTCACATGAGACAGGTGTATCGAGAAAAAATCGACCAGACCAGCTCCCAAATTGGCGACATTGATGCCGAAATCGAACGCATTGCCGAACGTAAACACATTATCGACCAGCAAGTGAGCGAACTGGAAGCACGAGTCGCATCGATTGTGATGAATTGTCAACAAAATCAACGACTGGGTACACAATTTCAATCGGTTGACAAACGAAATGAACACCTTTCAGTGCTCGTTAAGAGAGCGAAAAATGCAATCGCTCGCGAGAATCGGAATGTAAACAGATTAAAAGGCGAAATTCAACAAGAGATGGAAGAATTGAAACGATTGAGCACCGCTCGTACAGAACACAACGAACAGCTGGCCGAAATGAACGTCGACGATGAAACTCAATCATTCTATCAGCAGCAGAATGTGTTTGAGAATTTGGAAAATCAGAGATGGTAAGCAAATTATTGAGGACGTTCGAATGATGCGCTATTGTTTGATATTAACAATCGATTTCGTTGAATTTATGCTAATGTCATTTGATTGTCTATATATTGCTAACAGCGAATTGGTTGAACAAAACGAGTCATTGTTGGAAAAGTCGATGGAGCTCAAACTGAATTTGGAACAAGTTTATGATAAGCTGCGGTCACGAATCGGAAACGTAAGTAAAATGTCAAAGACAAATGAATTGCTAAATCATAAAAAATGCATAAAAACGTAAGAAAAAAGTCCAAGTGAAAAATAATTCAAGGAAAAAATCTATTTATGAAATGTAAAAACATTAGAATTATCTTGAGAGTTGTCTCACAAACAGATTTTTTCTGGAACGGGAACTAATTCTTCCCGAAATTCGAAATCCTTCTGAGAAAACCGTTCTTTACTTTTTCAATAAGAACCTTTTTTTCTCGCATTTTCCAGTCAATTTTCGACGGCTTCAAGTCAATGGAGACACTAATGCAGAAGGCGACGAATGAACTGAAGTGTCGTTATTTCGGACGAGTTATCGACAACTTTTCGTGTGATGATCCGGTTAAGCACGAATTATTGCCAAATTTGATGGGTGTACACTTATTTTATCACATCGTTGATTCAGCAGAAACAGCCACGCAGATTCTGTCCCGTTTGAATGCTGCCAATTTACCAGGAGAAGTGAATTTCTTCGCACTCGACATCATTGACAGCTATGAATTTGATGAGAACGACGTTGTGTCAAGTCTAACATTTGATGCGAAATTTCAGAAAGTGTTTGAGAAAATCTGTTGCGAATCACCATCAAATCCGAAAGACATGGCAAATCGGTCAAATGACACAATAAGTGTGAGCTCTTTGGACTCGGGATTCATCGAGGAAAATGGTGCGATTATTGGGGTAGAATTGGCTACTGACATCAATTCGATGGAATTGTATCAGCAGCATCAAGATTTGGCTGATATGGAAGAGGCTACGCGATATGAGCTCAGTGAAAATTCGTATCGAATGGACTCAACGATGGAGCAAATTAGCGAAACCAGTACAACATTGGAACAACAACACCAAGCGATGAGCCATATTCAACAGGTTCAATCTTCTGTGGCACAAATTACTAAGGCCATCAATCTGTGCGAAATGCGCATTCAAACAAAGCAAACGGAATTAGAGAAGCACGAGACCAAAGTGAATGGATTGGCTGAGGCAAAGAATCGTTACGAAACTGAGATGAAATCGGAATTGTTGACAGAACGGGAAACAAAATCAATCGAATCGGTAGAAATTGCAATTGTTGCGAAGAAAGTTGAGCTTCAGCAAGTCATTGCCGAAATCAAGAATTGGCAAAAGAAACGCGACACTATATTCGATTATCATGAGAACAGTCTGATGACCCCATACTCCGTTTTGGAAGAGCAGTCACGGACACATTCAGACAATTTGGCCGAACTGAATCGACAAACGGAAATGTTGTTGCAATCCGAAGAGGCTAAGGTAAAACATCATTCTTTTTGCGATAAAGCAATGAAAATGCCAATGAAATGAATTGTTCGGTATTTCTCCTTTAATCATCATGGATTTATTTAAATTCTTTCATTATTAGCGACAAGCTGCCGAGGAATTGGTTCAAATTCGACGTCAAGTGGCTGCACTGCGGAATGAACATGAGTCGAAACGTGTGGCTTTGAAAGATTCGGAACAGGAAAAGATCACGTTGGAACAGTCACAAACGTATTTGTTTGCCGCATTGGACGATATGAAACTTCAGGTGCAAAACTTGAGCACTGCTTTGATTCGGCTACGGGAACAAAAACCATATGATGCAACTCACATACACAATCCGGACATAGTGCAAATGTCTGAGGAAGACATCGATAATCACCTGAGCATTGCGCGCTATCAACTGAAAACGTATGAAAACACCGATAACTTCGACCTGAATATGCTGGACACATTCACCAAGGAACGTGAAAATTTCATGCGGCGTCGATTTGAACTCACGCAAATGGAGAGCAAAATTTCACAGGCAATGGCAAAAATGGAGGCAAGCATCAAAACTTCAATTCGAAACACATTTTATGAATTGGCCAAGCATTTTTCGACGAATTTCAAGAGATTCGTACCGCGCGGTGCAGGAAAGTTGCAATTGATCGAAGCAGCAAGTGCTGAGAACGATGATGCATTGATGCAGAATAGAAATCAAGAAGCCATTGGCCTGAATATTTTTGCACGATTCGACCAAAGCGAAGACCAATTCGACCATTTATTCGGACAGAAGCGACGAGTCGTTGCATTGGTTTTCATCATTAGTATGCAGCAACTGTGTCCAGCTCCATTTTATCTGATTGACTGCATTGAAGAGGTAACCGAATGCAATTGCTACATCAATATTTAATCATAACAATTTGACGTGTCGTCCGTTTTTTTTTCAGTTGATTTTTTATCCATATCTCGAGCCGTTGATCATTTACTTGAACGAGCTATCAAATGGGTCGCAAATTATCGCCACATCGAGCAGTCATCGCATGCTAAATGGACCGAATTTCATTGATAACATTTTCCGATCGACCGCTTGCAATGGCATACCACAAGTCGAGCGAATTCCTTACGCAGAAGTAGAAGAAGAAGAAGACACCGTCTAAGCAGACACGTTACAATGCTCATTATTTATTCGGTTGAGTTCTTTTTTTTTAAGTTCAATATTTTTTTTATGACTTTCAATATTTTACGAGAAAATCAAAATTCAAACTAAAAATGGAAAACGAAGAAAGAGGAAAAAAAAATATGTAATAAGAATGAAACACAATGTCGTTGTTGAGTAAATTCATCGTGTGCAGACACTTCAGTAGGGTGCGACTTAAAGCGAGCCATAAAATGCCAAACAAAATAAGGAACATTTTTCGTTATTTGTTATGGAAAACCGAAAGTTGTTATATGGTGCAAAGAATGCATTTGCCATGTCGAAACCACATGCTCGTACACTGTTGTTTTTTTCTTCCTTCCCTTTCGTTCTGTATGAATAAAAATATTTACTATAAAAACAACCGCATCGAAATTGAGAAAATCATTAAAATCCAGAAACAAATACTGAACAAGCAAAATGGTCTGCTTGGAATAGAGAAGATATTACATGAGTCGAAAAATTGGAAAAGCAAACGAAAATGTACAACCGAACGTAAACACTTTTTACTCCATATAAGCTTAGTGTTCGATATGTGCAATGTGCATTTTTTCTATCCAGAATTTTATGATAGAGCCAACCGACAACTCGGATCGTCACTACACATTCGTTCCATATCCGAAATGAAATCATTGTAACTGTGGCATTACCATACACAATATAAATATATCATTAAATAACATACGTTTGTTCTTTTCTGCTCTACTCTTGTGTGCGGTTATTTTTGGTGCGAGAGAGTGTCGAAAGTTATGGCAATGAAAATGAATCGTGCTGGATAATATATATGAGGTCGAGTGTGGTGTAGAAGAAAGGAAGAAGAAGAAGCCACGGCATACGCATGACACAGCAATAGCTGTGACGAGATTGAAGAGAGCGTAAGTATTGTGCATGCAGAAAATTCAAGTACACATGATCCGTATGCAATTTGTTTTTATTATTTCTACTCAGTAAAGCGAACGCGCCACAATTTGTGATTGTGTATGTGTGTGTGTACTCTCAATGTCGTCTTTGTCTCTTCGGCCAGAAGCAAGAAACATTGGCAAGCACCAGAATATTCATTGCGAGCATATCATCGTTATTTCTTCCTCGC